TAATAACTTCTGATACATTGAGGAAGTCAGAACAAAACCATGTTATATATATGTATGTATGTATGTATGTATGTATGTATGTATGTATGTATGTATGTGTCTGTGTGTGTGTGTGTGTGTGTGTATATATATATATATATATATATATATATATACATATATACACACACACACACACACACACAGACACATACATACATACATACATACATACATACATACATAATTTTACAACATATATATATGTATATGTACAATAAAATTAAAAAATTGAGGGGGGAAAACAGTGTTCTATGCTGTGGCATGATATCATGCTGGCCACAAGATTATGGAATAGTCTATGCTGGCCACAAGATTATGGAATAGTCTATGGACAGAACTGGCTGAAGAGCTTGCAGAAATGGAGATGAGTACTCCCCCCTAAAGTTGGCTACAACTAGTGGAATAAAACTCACAGGGACAACTTTACCTTTACTATTTTTAATTCAAATTCTATATTTCAGTATGTATCCTCATCAAGAACTTTATGGAATCATCACAGACTGAAATAACACAGCCTACTTACAGCAAGTATTATCTCATATTTATTTAAATATAGCAGCATGTTTAACAACTTGTTCCTACAAGATAAATCTAAGAAAATCGTTTAGATGTAAAAAAAAAATGTTGAGCAAACAGCATTGATTAATCTGAAAAGAAACTAACTTTGATAATATAATAATAGGATACAGGGATGTCAGATTTAATGCCCACAGCACCTACTACATTCCATTCTAAATTTGAAAATGGCACATTTTTATTTGCTGTTTGTAATTTAAATACTGTTCCAATAAAAAGAAACAGAAGAGAAAAGAAATCCTATTCAAGGGCATTGGCTTTTCTTATAGGCAAATTATGTACAACACAAAAGTTCACGAGGACAGTTTTGTTGAGAATTCTTGGTGAATTGGCTATTCCTGAATTGCCTCTTCCAAATTCTACTTTCTATACTGAAGCACTGAAACTGCCTTACTGCACTTCTTCTACCTCAATACCCTTGGGTTTGATCTGTCAAAGGTTTTGTCTGGGATGCACCTGACATTCCATGCATAAAATAGGGGGGGAAAGCAGAAGGTGAAGCATTTCATTGTGGGAAAGTCCTTATTTAAGCATGCTCCACACAGCTGATGTCCTCTCTTTTCCATATTCTTCCTCATTTTATCACATTTTTGGTGGATTTGAATGGGGTGGGGATGAATTGGGTTTGGATCGTTCCTCAAAGCTCTTTAAGTCAAGGTTTTTTATTCCAAATTGTCAGCCACTGACACTTCTTTAAGGAAAGCAGGTCAGCAACCATCCAATAATCACAGTTTCCCTGCATCGACTTTGTAAATTTGGAGATTTGTGGTTGTCAGATGCCTCTTGAAGCAACATACTCTATTCCCAGTCATAGGATGTATAGTATCATAACATAGAAAAACACAGGTTTCTAACCCAAAAAATGTTTAAACTTGTTTTCCTGATGTTAGATTCAGAATGTAACTTCTGTGCAAGAATTTAAATATGAAACAAAAGCGAATTCTTTATAATAGCTCTATTCAAAGTCTCACTTTTTCTACATTAATCATCTCTTCTTCAACATCATCCCTACACCACCAGTTTAACATGCCTTAAAACAATTAGATGCATTTATTTTGAAAAGTTATAGTCTGGCTTCCTTTGTAAAACAAATAAAATGAAGCTTTTACTGTTCTTTAAGTAGGGAAAAATAGATGCCCTAACCAGAGAACAGACACAAAACACTCATGCATGACAAGCTTACTCACAGATGACAAGCTGTTGCACTAAACTATTTTGGTATACAATTCATTTGTGATATCAAGGACAATTTGGTTTCATCCATATGACTATTTATTACTGGGACATCTTGTGCATGATTTCAAGTGGGCCACACATTGCAGTTAGCATGTGATGATTTCTATGAGTAATTTGCTGCTGACAACATTAACAGTATTGTACATCTAGCAATATGAGTAGCCCAAGCATTTCACTATATTTTTAAATATACATTTTAATTTATTATAAATCTTAGCATACTGTTTTAAAAATGAAATTAATGATTTCTGTTATTACCAATGATAGTTTAATTTTAAGAGCACAGTAGTTTAATTTCCTTCTGCAGTTTTGACAACTGAGGATGCAAAAAGTAATAGGGGTCAAGCTAATAGAAGATATTTTTCAAAATGAAATCACATGGTAATAAAGAACTAATTTGATTTTTTTAAAGAATAGCATAAAAATCTAATACATATTCCCTACTATAAGTTAAATTTATACTTGAGTTCCCCAACTTTTCCAGCTTTGTGGCTCAGCGGTGGGGAGGGGGGATAGGGAAGTTTCCGCGCAAGTGGTGGGGAAGTGTGCACTGCTTCATTTGCGCAAGCATTGGTTAATAGGAAAACAGCAGGCATCTTCCTCTGGTTATTTCTTAGCTGCATGCTTAGTATGATCAACAAAACAAACATTTGCTACATAACAAACTAAGAATTACACAACTATGTTATTAGAGTAGTGTTTCTCAATCCTGGCAACTTTAAGATGCATGGACTTCAACTGTAGATCTTAAAGTTGCTGAGAATGAGAAACACTATATTGGAGCATAGATGATTCCAGAACTTGTTTTCTTCACATTTCTCTTTTTAATTGCTGTTTGAGCATTGTCTGATTGATTTTTAAATCAACTCATACTATTTTCAACTTGCCAATTCTAAGGAAATTTAGATGTGAATATGTAAACAGGCAATAGTATATACACTTCTAATTTATTAATGTGTGTTTCAGTTTTTTAAAAAAAATATCCTGCAGGTCTAGGTATTTAAATGACAATTTCTCTTCATTTTGTGATCCACAATAACAATGCTGTAGTGTAGATAGATTGGGCTGAACTCCAAATCTGCTAGTAAGTTTGTGAGTTAATGATACAGTTGCACTATCTTCCGTCCTATTTGCCAGTTAAGATTTCTTTTAAAAGGAGCATAATTCTTTTTATTTCTACAGAACTGCAACTATGAAGTTTTAGATTGACTACTTCTTCTAAGGGAGATCCTGATTAAAAGATAATAAAAGATGTTCTCCAGAAGTTGTATTTTTAAAAAATACTAAAATTGTGGGTCTCAGTGAAAGAGCTCAGAGTTTATGA